GTAAATGGTAAAATTTCGTTGATAAATTTGATAAATGATACAATTCACTAATAAAATTTGACAAATGCAAACATTTCGATTCCTACTGCTTGCCATTACTTAAATCATCTACCAAATTTAATTTCAAACATGTTATAGCCCTTAACTGTAACATAATTTTGAATTAACAACATCACCCTTCATTAATCCACGTAATCGTCGTTTAACGAAATTCTTTACTTTATTATAGCTAAATAAAGTTACATGTTAAGCCGTCATAAAAATAATGATAAACACAGAGTTTTATTTATTCTTATTTTTGTGATTACATCGTTATGTGATCTTATGTAAATTAATAAGCACATCCAACGTTACACGAAACTTTTATTTATTTACATTCAACAACCCAGTATAGCAGAATATGGTCATATTACACCAACTGCACCAACTGAATGATTTATTGCCACAGATCTATTGTATTTCCTGGAAAAGCGAAAATCAAGAAATTTTGAACCTTATTTATGGAATAAAATGTAATAACACTCGAAGGTTTTTAAACTGTACTACAAGGAAGACAATTTCACTTCAAAATGACAAATGAAGTTAAGTGATGACAACTCAACGACAGTATCAAAAACCATCGAGTTAATTAAACTCAAGATCTTTCTCGCAAGATTACCAAATTTCCATCTGAGCAAGACAGAACAGCTCTGAACTGTTTTGCCTTTTGAAATACTTTACCAATAGAACTCGAAGTCGAAAGTAACACTTGATGAGCAATTTAGAAGAGCACTAAATATTTAACTGGATATTCAGCCAGCCAAAAGGGGTGAAGCACCGATATACATGAATATCTTAGAAAAACATTTTTTGTACATAATCAGTATCATTAACCACAAAAAGCTGTTCATGCTTATGTGGTACTCTTTTCGCATAAAGAAATCTTAGAAGGAATTCGAATGAATCTTTAATCATTAAAAAGTAGTTAATGATACCTTACAATCAAGAACTTCAAGAGTCTACTGACTTTCCACTAACATTCCGTCACAAATTAACATTTTTTGATTTTTTTAAAATTTTTAAACAAAAAAAAAAAAAAATTAACATTTCCATAAATCAGGAGTCAGCGCCACTTTAAAATGAATTGTAAAATAATTTGCTTCGCAGGAATTCCATAAAGAACTCTAGTCATTTCATAAAAATTACAACCAGAAGTATTTATCTGTGGAATAAACAGGAATTGATTATGATCATTCTTCCTTTTCTTTGGAATCTGTAATTTAAAAGAACTAATTTAGGGAAACCATTTATGTTGATAATGCAGATATGAATTACAATATTTACTAAAGAAATCAAAACACTTCCAGTTCATAACAAAGTGATATGCGCTATCATATTTCAACAAAATGATTAAAATTACAATGACTTTGAGAGGTCTGAACAGAATGAAAACATGAAAAAATAACAGCAAAAGAAAAGTACAGAGAGAACGAAAAACAAAAAGAAATGAGCAACAGAATCGCAAAATAATTGCATGCAAAAACTCCGTACTGCAAAATATTACACTGCTTCAATCTTCTATTTTGGAATTAATATAAGATTTCGAAAAAAAGGAAGTCAACAAATAAATAAAAGACGACCACAATGTTAAACGATCACAATATTACCAAGAAGTTTCTGAAAAATAGATAGACATTTATTCTTTACTTTACTAAAGCTAGAAATAATAAATTAAAGAAACTTTACTACGACAAAACCATGGGAAATACGAAACACTTAACACCTAATGACAAAATCACAAAATGAATATTTGAATTTGCAAGCCATACTTCCGTCCACAAACAAATTTTTAAAAAAATTACTGTCTTTTCCAAATATTGATGCACATAGACCTTATATTTTTGGTCCAAGCAACTGTTAATAATCCATTTAGGTTGAAATAAACAGAAAGCGCTCATACAAAAAATGACCCGCAAATCAATATGCAACAGGTATTTCGCCTTGTTTATTCCGATTCCGGAGTGATAAGAAAAGCAGAAAACGCGAACAAGATAAATACTATGCCTCCAATTAACGTAACTAAAAAAAGTACAAGTTGAAAACTGTTAACATTAAAACTTGCTTTAAATTATGGCAAGTAAACACGTATCGCCAAATCACAGGACCATTACAACATGGCATCAAATATAAAGAACAATAGTTGATTCGATGTAGTAAATTATAATAATTGCTTTCTACTTCCCTCGAGATCCGTACTTTTAAGGAAAACTAATTTAGAAAACAAATACTGTGCAGTTCAACAGTGCAAAATATACAAATAAAAAAGCTAGGCTTGAAATTACCTGTTCTTACTGATATTTGAGTAGCAACAAGTCTACCGCCGATAACGGCAATTCCTGTACAGAATGCGTGTCCGACTATAGTACCAATCACTACACCATAGATATTTTCACGGGCTGCCAACATTATTGTGGTCAGCTGACTGCGATCGCCCCATTCGGCCAGAAATGTGAGCGTAAAAGTCTCCAAAAAAAGTGCAGAAATCATACATACAAGCGCATGTGTTGAACTGTAACGGAAAGTTGTAAAAGTAAAAGCAAGCATACAAAATTTCCTAGATGTAAAGCATTTCTTTTTTGGACAGAATTTCATACTTTCGAAAACATTTCCGTGAACTTAGATGAGTGATTTAATTAGGGACGAAACACGAGATTAAAATGAGTCTGGAATACCTTTGGTTTGGCATAGTAATTCCTCCACTTTCTATATCAGCTTTAGAAGAATCAGAAAGCAGTTCTTTCTTCTGGATTTCCGTTTTTGCTTCTGCATAATTCTCCTGTCCATCAGCTGGAGACATTCGATATCCATCGTACAACATTTTCATACCAAATAATGCGAAAAGTGCAGTAGAAATGGAATAAGTTAACAATCGTGGCATGACCTGAGTAAACCATCCCAATCCAGCTTAAAAAATTCCTCATAAACGGACGGGGAACAAAAGTACAAGACCTACTAAAAAAAAAAAAAAATAGAACCACATAAAAAATTATTCCATGTGACCTAACAACTTTTTGATTTACTATTCTAGAAAAATTATTAAAAATTACTTTGAACAGTTTTAAAATGCACTAGAAATTCACTTTAAATGTATTTTCTGCATGAAAAACAGAAGTATAACATGACACCTGATAAAAGTGTCATCAAAATTAAAGCTGCCATTGCTCCGCAGAAAACAGTTAACCGAGAATGCCTCATTGCCATGATTGCAGCAATAAACCATGTCTTGTCGCCCAATTCTGATACAACAACGACTGATATCGAAGCCAGTAATGCATGATAAAGAGTCAAATCCTGCAATTTCTCTGATCAGGATGGATTTTGCATACAAAAAGGAAAAAAAAATACACGAATTTCAAGCATCGAGTTATCCAGAGGATAATTTATTTTTATTCAGCTATTTACTCTTACTCATTTTACTCAGAAGTTTTTTATCCTATAGAAGATAATAAAGTAACCTGCATAAATAATCTTAAACAGCAGTTTTTGAAGGAAATATATCCATTATAATTCCAACAATAAAAGATAAAGAACTTACAATAGGTTTTTTGGGCTTATTTTCGCCAAAAATTGCAGCAAGATTTTTGTTTGCATTGGTAACTATAGAAGATGTCCGTTGATAAATTTCCTTCGCTGAATTTGACTAAAAGATTTTCTCTAAATGAACTTGAGAATTAATCAAATTGTTGAAACTTGAGAGACTTTACTATGACAAAGAATTACTTCTGACATCATCTTCTAGCACATTTCTGCTGACTCATTTTTAAATTTACACATACTTTATCCTGACAACCACATAGTCAACAATATTCTACTTTGTTATTTTTGTCAACCAAAAATGTTTATCAATAAAAAATTTACCTGAAGAGAATGATTACCAATATTACCAGTATCTCGCTGCCGTGAATCAATGGCACCTGCAGTAAATCCTAAGAAATGCGTAAAAAGCATTGCTATAATGAAGCACACTGAGTATACAAAATTCATCATTAGTAATAGAGATAACAGTGAAATCGATAATTCATTGAAATACCACAAACAAGCGGATACTGCACAGCAATCTCTATAAAAAATAAGAGAAAGCTGTCAAATTCTGATAAATATATAGAGGTCAGAGCAAAGAAACGAATTTTATCCTTCTACATACTTACATGGATCATTCTGAATGTAAGGATGTAGTGAAAGAATAAAAAACCAATATTAAATTTATATTGTGCTATGTTAGCTCTAGTCGAAAACTCTATGGTTAAAGTTATTTAAACGATTCTCGGGAATGAAATAAATCGGCTAGAAGTCACGCTGATCATTTTATCTGTCCCTATTTTCATACAATTCCCTATATTACACAGCACGCCATCCTCACGTTCCGTGTTCCAGCACACATTACCAATGTTTCTCCACGTCCCACGTCCACAACACAGTCAGCAAAGCGTCTCTTACCATCCGCCCGAAATCACACATTGACCCACCAAATCACTTCAGAGAACTGTTTCACTTCTTTCCTCTCCCTTCTTCCTATGATCTCTCTTAATTCCTGTTAATTCCAGGGTTCCACGTTAACTCTGCACCATCGTTCTTCTACGTCTATTTTCTATTTAGAGTTCTTAGGTGGTGGTAGTAGGATGGCGTAGTAAGCGTAGAAGTACAGTGGTAGCCGTGGTTGTAGCGTTGAGGTAGACGTGGTTGTAGAAGTGGATGTTAATGATATGCATAATAAGAAATGTCACAGTAGCTGTTTCAGTCACAATAACTTCTGCCAGTTTTGTAAAGCTGAATTGAATGGATGTGGTAAATGGTCCCTGTGCATTGACAATTTGAATAGAATTATCGAAGGGCATTGTGTATTACTTGCTTTTTAATAGCCTATAGACATTGTTCTTTTATTAACACAAGACTATAAGGAAAGGTATCCACCTTGACAGATTTTAATTATACACAGCTTTTTAATTTTCAGCTATTATATTATGGCCGTTCGGAATGTGTATACATCACGCGACGAACGATTAATGTGGGAACACATCTTTAAGTAAGCTTGACTTTCATTTTTATTATGAATTCATTGACAGTACAAATGACTACAGTCTGTTCTACTCGTAGAGGAAGAAGCCGAGCAGAAGCTTCCAGTACAACGCATTTCTTTGCTTCCTGTCTTTAAACACAATGAACTTAGAAATATCTATTCGGCATGTGAAATTTGCAGGAAGCTACAGGAGGGAGATGAAGCTGCTTATCAACCAAAGGGTTTAAAGTTATGGAAAACTTTTGAAGCCATTCAGAAAACCAACAAAACCGCCTCATCACTTGCTACACAGTAAAAATTTTGATGACATGCTTGGTTGCATTTGCTTTATTTTACTGTGTTGAGGAAGTGGGAATAGAAGACTAGGTTATTTTTGTTTTTTTTATTTTAGAGATTCTTATTTCTTTGTATTTTTGCAGTTTTCGTAAAGCAATGTACGATCATATCGAAGAAGCCAAGATACCGGTGGAGCAACAGTTATATATCGCAAGTCAACTCAACCTAAAACTATCGAGGCGCCAGCAAAAAACGTGAACTTTTTTTTTCGTTAATTGTAACTCGATGAGGAAAGTGTAAATATGACATCTGCATTGCTTCGAATAAAAATTGTTTTGAATTTATTTCTCCGAACTTTTTTCTTAGTGCTAGAAGGGTAATTCTTAATAGTTTCTATTTTCGAGTTTGGTTTTTTCAGTTCTGGATGAATTATGATCAGAACGGAAATGAAATTCTCCTGTACTGTCATTTCTTTAAATACTTCAATTTACAGAATCGAATACAAAGAAAATATTTCAATCACTGTAGATGGTTGCGGTTTCGTGACTGCATATGAAAAGGAAGGTTACTTTGCTTCTATATTCGACCTTTTTGCTACCAAATGTTGATTCAGCTGATTTCCTCTCATTACTAACGGCTTTAATATACTTTAGTATACTGCGCCATCATTTTTGAATCGTAAAAATATTATAAAATGATTATGTTTAATATTACTGGTCTAATATATAAGATGGTGTAGATGCAATAGAATTCCGCTATTCCAGTTTATTTCAAGATTTCTCATCAACTTCTTTTTGTAACATAATTTGAACTTCAATAAATATTTGTACATTTAGTTAGGTTTTGAATTATTGTGAAGAGTATAAACAATTAAACTACACTTTTTCAGGTAAACAGTATCTTCCATCTCTACTTAAGAAAGGAACTTTATGCGGTATGATTAAGTGTTAAGTTTAAAGGGAGAGGATTCCGTTTCGTCTTACATTAATTAACTGCCTTGAATGCTTTATCATTGGTTTTTACGCAGACATATTTTTTATATTGTAACATACTAAATATGAAATGAAAGTTGATATCTCTTATTATGTCACTCATTTCCATCCTCTCCACACTTATTCCTCTGCGGATACTGAACCTTGCTAATAATTATGTCCTTTATTTCTTTTCATCTTCATTTCAAATCATAGTTTTCCATTTCAGAAGACAATAATATAAATGATGAAATAGGTTACGACGCATTTGAACTAAATGGTAAGCTGCATCCAAAGATCTTGGAATGATAATCATTTTTTAAAGCGCTGAATATCTCATAAAATACCAATTTAGTTGCTATATTTTATGTTTTAGGATCGATGCGGAAAATTCCAAAACTCTCACAAAGCTTCGACAGAAGCTCTGCGTCATTAGGGTTAGTTATTTGACGATTTTAAAAGTTTTTTGCATAACTGGAGGAGATATATGTATAGAATTTTAACTGTTAAATATTACTTGTAAAGGTAATACCAATGAAAGACAAATTTCTCTCTCGGGCGAATATTGAGTGCGCATATAGTTTAATCTCGTGGAATAAAAACGAACCGTCTTTTTTTTAAAACTTATTTTTCATTTAGTGCTGTCTCTTAATACATTCATTTTTGTAGTATATTAAAGTGATTTCACTTTGTGCTGTAATTTAATGGCTTTTTTTCATTGGAAGAAAGTACAGTCTGCGAAAGCGACTCAACATTGGAAATAATAGATCATCGGCAATTCGTAATTCAAAAGAAGTCGAAGCTGTGGACTTGATGCTGGATGTAAGTGTGTGGACTTAATAAGTTGCATAATTTTAATTTAAAAATTGCATTATAGACTTATTTGTTCAGAACGATCACAATGATAACCGAAATGAAGAATTCCATGGTGGCGGTAATCAGAATGAGATATCCTGCGGTAATTTTGCATTGTTAAACTACCGTGCTTTGTATAGTTCTCAAATTATGTTGTATGTTTGTGATAGCTTAAGAGTTAATTTTAGTTCATAAATATAATGACATAATCTTTTGACATAATCTACTAATTCATTTAAAATATTGTTTTGAAGAACTTTTAGTTGGGCAGATGTTGGATGACGGGAACGGGAATGTAAGTGAACAAAAAAAAGCAGGAACAATTACATATGAAAAGCAGTTCTCTTCAAACAAAACTGACGATCAGGAAACAAGCAAAAGCAGGAGGGTGCTTTGCGTAGCAGATGGTTCTCATAATAGTTCAAAGGAAACTGAGATGAATATATTTTCCTCTAAGAATGAAATTTGTAACTTTCAAAGCGAAGCATTAGGAAATCAAGCTGAATGTGAAACAGCAGAGTCAGAATCTGGTATGAGTCAGTGTATAGAAGTCGTTGACAATATAAAAAATTTGGCCGTACATAACGATCAGTTTGATATGAAAATGATGTCAAACGAAATATCCAAAAGTGTTGCGTGCAATAGCACATTAATACAAACCACAACCCTTATGAAGGGAAGAGAAGAACTATTGGCCGAAAGTATTATTGATGAAGAAATGAAGCAGTTACTTGCTTATATTTCAAATAAACGACAACTCAGGGGTGTTGAGGTAATTTTTTTTTACATATTATCAGATATTCCTATATTGTCAGTCTCTGGGCTTTGTAACGGTTTTATTGCTTATACAAACCAAATATACAATATTTTTTGGGTTTGTTTCGTCAAAGCGCATAATCTACACGGTTATATCACGAGTAGCACTAGTTCTACCTTTATTCCACATGAATGAATTTATGCAACACATGTTTTTGGGAAATCGACCTGAAGTAATTGTATTTACTGCATTTATCACTTCATTACAAGTGATCACTAATTGATATATGATTTATTTTCTGAGAAAATGTTGCTCTTGCTTATCAGATTCATGTCTTCACATGTTTTATTTTGCAGAAAATGAAAACAGAAAAAATACTGGAATTGCGTGCTGAGGAAGCCAAACAACTTGGAATTGGTTTGAAAAGTTATCTCAGAAAAATGCGACAGCAGATGATTTAGAGTGGAACAGATTTTCGCTTAGTTATAATGCACTGGACTTTTGATTTATTTTATGTTTTAATTTCTTATATTTTTGTTAACTGTTGTTTAGAGCATGTAATTTTAGATTTATAGTCGTATTCGATGACTTTAAAGCGTTTAAAATTGTACACTTCCGGAATTTATTGATTTTAGTTGCTACTTCAAGACATAATTCATCTTTCACATGTTTTACCTTTATTCCATATTAAAGTGGTAATTGAGAATTCGTAATATGGAGGAAAATTTTTGCAAGTTTGTAATTTTGTTAGGAGTGACTGTCTAATGATTAGAGATTTTAAACAAGGACAAGGATGTTTATAGGTAGGTAGTAAATATGAAAAAGTTGTGTGAGTCTATATGGCGCTCCAAGATTCTCAGTGTTATGAAAAGATTCCACATCTGGAAAATTGGAGTGTTAAATCTGTTGCTTCAGATTGAGATTTTATGATAGTTATCAGATGTATTTTTGCCGTTTATTATCAAGTATCACATTAAAAGTAATTTATGTACGAGATTTAAATTATACGAGTTATCGTGACCTCTACTTGGCACAACCGATTTTGATAATAGAGTATGGGAACATTTTGTTCATGGAAGCTCTACAGAAAACGGGAATATGAATTTTGAGTTTTTATATCGTATTCCTTGTAGATGATTGAAAAAGCTCCAGACACAACAAAGCAGCTGATCGATGATGTTGAAAAGGAGGTGAGTTGCAAAATTAATGTAATTAAAGGTCGAGCTAGAAAAGTTAGCCCCCTTTCTGTAGTGGTTTGTGGGTACTTCAATTTATTATATTGTATACTGGTTGTGTCTGACAGTTAATCCTTCCTATTCAAAAACATTGAAATTGGATTTTAGGTAATTTCAAAGATACCGAATTTGGATATTGCACAACTTCGTTTTCTTCTATCACATCCTGATATCGATTCAAAGGTAAAGAAGGATAGCTGGGAAAAACTTATTGAGGTTAGCGCCTTATGTTGCAAACATTTGTGGTGTCGTTGTTTATATTTAGATTTTTAATTTTGCTTATTCTTTAAATTTCAGCTTATCAAGCAAAATGAAATGGGACCATATTACAAACTCGTTTGTACCGACATTGGAACCACCATGAATGAATCATTATTTACCGATTTAAAAGAAGCCAATGAGAAGCGTTTGAAAGAAATAAACGATGAGATAGCAGATGCTGAGCAGAACTTAGGTATTTTAGTATGTGGTAAATGATATACGGGTAACGTTTAGAAGAGAAAAGTGTATATTAAAAATATTAGTTTTACTGTGTATGTGTTTTTTTTGCAGGAGAAAGTGAAGTGCGGCAGGCTTACCTTCGCAAAAGCGAATATTTATGTAAAATTGGTGATAAAGACGCAGCGGTTGCATCGTTTAGACAAACATATGAGAAAACTGTTGGAATCGGCTATAGAATTGACCTTATTTTCAATCTTATTCGACTTGGCCTCTTCTTTTTGGATCATCAATTAATCAATGCTAATATTGCTAAAGCAAAGAATCTTATGGAACAGGTTTTAGCAGTTTTTACAAAGTTTAAATTCCTTGCTGGACATCCTTACAGTAGACAAAGTTCTACCACTTAAACTAGTCTAGGTCTTACACCGCTTAGGCTGATGCTGGCATGCTTTATGAGCAAATGAATTTAGGGCGGAGATTGGGAGCGAAAAAATCGTCTTCGATCCTATGAAGGTCTTTATAAGATGTCGGTGAGAGATTTGAAAGGAGCTGCAGCCCTTTTTCTGGAAGCTGTGCCAACGTTTGGTTCATACGAACTTATGACCTATGAACAGCTTATATTTTATACAGTTATTTCGGCTGTGTATGGTAAGTATATGACTTCTCACACTTTTTCATTGACAAAAGTCTTTCTTAAACATGGAATCTAAACAGACCAGCTTTTTTCAGCGTTAGAACGTCCTGATTTGCGCACAAAAGTTATCCGATGCAATGAGATCCAAGAGCAAGTCAGTTTCTCAGTTACATTTCATTTGTCACTTTCATCTTAAATATTATTTTATTGCCGATTTTTATTGATTAGCGAGTATGTTAAAAAAATGTTAAAACTATATTGAATTGATTAGTATTTTCAAATTTCATTGCAAAATTTTATATTTAGCTTACTGGTGGTGGTGAAAACAATGAATTGACTTCTGTAAAGCAATATTTGGAGGCTTTTTACGGATGCAGATATGATGAATTGTTCGTGGTGCTTGCTAAACTAGAAAGAGAGAAATTAAAATTTGATCGTTATTTAGCACCACATTATAATTTTTACTCGAGAGCAATGCGTCTCAAAGCTTACGAACAATTCCTTACTCCTTACAAAACAGTATGCTTTAGTCTCATCAATTTTTTTCTCTCTATTCATAGTTTCAGTAAAAAAACTTGAATCTGTAAAGTACGTAAGGTGATAAGGCATGTACATTTATATGCCACTCAAACTGTCTCTTTAATTTGCACTTATTGCTGCTTAAACTTAAATTTTAAACTTAAAATATCTTCGAGAAAACTGCGGTGCAGTTAATGATTTCCGTTTTAGGTTCGTTTAGATATGATGGCAAAAGATTTCGGTGTTTCGAAAACATTTATTGACAAAGAATTACATCGACTGATTGCCACTGGTCAGCTGCACTGCAGAATAGATGCTGTCAGGGGAATCATAATAATGAATCATCCTGATACCAAAAATCATCTGTATCGCAGCGTTATTAAGTATGTTTTCCTGCTTTATTGAATTTTCCTGCTGTTGCGTCTAAATTCCTGAAGTGTATTTCATTTAATAATGGAATCTAAATTTTAATAGAGCTTTATGTTATGTGAAGTTATTTCTCAGGCACATTTTTTCTTTTTAGGGATGGTGATATTCTCCTGAATCGTATACAGAAGCTGGCACGTGTGATTAATGCTTGAAAGTATGACTTTATTCTTCATTTTGTTCCTATATCGAACTTAACTGAACTCTACAAAATTCTCTCAAGCTTGGAAATTAAAATCCAGATGTGCCAAGATTTGAAGAAAAATGTTTTAAAATTTTCAATTTCGGGAACAGATTGTGAAATGTTGAGTTTATTAACTTAATCTGTTACAATTAGTTTATTATCTGTCAGCAGAGTTAATGTTATAATGAAGATTTTTATTTACTTCCGCTGCATCACTAACAGTTTATTCTGCTATGACAGATTTTTATTACTTTGCATGTTTGTTTATGGAAAAGAGAAAATATATATTTATCTTGTGATAAAATGTATGTGGTAAAATGAAAAATGTGAAGTGGCAGAAAATGGCTAAAGAGATGGAAGGAAAATGTTTAAATCTCTCGAAATGGATATAAAGAGCATTTAATTAATGTTAGTATTTCTAGCAGATCATGTCATTTCCTCCAATAAAAACATTTATGTTCCACAAGAGGGGAGTTCGTTAAACTGCTGTAAATAACCAACGAGCAGATAAGCTTAGATAGTTCAGCTCAATTCTAACTGAGATAACCATAAGGCAGGGACGAAATAGTAATGGACCATTTTAAACTAGGAAGCAAGCAAGCACTTCGTTGCTGATGGTATTGAGTGACTTCTTGTAGATGATATGGTGAAATTCCAGTTTTCATCCTATGATCATTCCTAAACGGAGGGATTGCTCGTTGCACACCGAGACGGCCCTTCCGGTTTAAAGTTTTCCCGGCACTTTCTGCTATTGTTTTGTTTTTTTCTTCATTTGATTGTTGTTGCGATAGAGAGTTGGTCAGAGGGCAACTTCGATCGTGAGGACATTTCTGTGTTTTCTGAATTATTCTATAACATCATCTCAGCTATTCGCTAATCTCTTTGTCTTTCACTTCCCCCTCCTTTCCTTGCTCTCTTTAACTAATTGATTAATAGTAACGAAGAGAGATTTTTTAGTACTCCTTTATTTCTTTCTAGTAGTTTTTTTTTGTTTTTCAAGTTGTAATTTTATTGCTTCTCGCCTTTAGGTGGCGTATTGTGTATAGCTGTGTAACATTTCCTTTTAAATTCATGTTTATCATTTCTGAATCATAGAATACTTACCAACATTTTTGTGTGTCTTTTCGTTAGTCAGCTATGATTAATTAAAGCGGTCATGTTTCTGTTTCAGTATGGATATTGATAACCATTCATTGATTAAAGAGAATCCGTTGAACAGTGAATATGAACACGAGAGGATTTCATTTGGAGAAAGTGGTAAAGTGAATGAACCATCATCTTCATTATCTAGAAATATTTTAGGAAGCTTCATGGAAGAAGATAGAGAAAATGCTACTGATTGTGCTTCAGAAGTAACTTTTTAAGATCCTTTTTGTTTGAAATATATAATATTTCAAAATAATTATAAATAATTTTAGATGAAATCTTCATTTGCATGTTTGCTTTACTTTCTTGTATCTTCTACTAAATGGATTTTTAATTCCGTTTCCCCAATTTTCTAGGTGAATTTACACTTGGCAGAACACCAGCCACGAAGTCGAACTCGCAACTGCAAGCCTTCTGATCCACTCCATGTGCATAATTGTAGCGGTAATTAGTGCTCGATTATGAAATATGGTTTTCAAGAATGTGCTTTAGAAGATTGAGTATTTTTATTCTTAAGTTGGTTTTCAACACATCCTGCTTAAGTAATGAGTGTAGTTAAATATTTAGATCGTTTGCCACCGCTTGAAACTGAGCAGCAGTTCCGTATTGCAGTTACAAAATGTGCAAGAGGAGGCGATTCAATGGAACGTAATTCAAATGGCAAGTTTTTATTTGTCCACTCAGTCGTAATAGGACAGTCATCAAATAATACAGTGATCAGACCGTTCAGAAAGTGACATGGTTCATATGTTTGACACAAATATTTTAAATTTTCAGCTGGCATGGGAGTGGCACGCGATGTACCAAATTTGTCTCCTTTAATCTTCAAAGTATGTTTAATTTATAAATTGAAAAGCCTTCAGTCCAAAGAGAAGTATTAGTTTTCTTTTTTATTTCCAAAACTTAGAGAGAAGGGTGAGATATTTATAGACATCTTAGATTTGTTGTATTTTTAGAGCAAACCTATCATCATATCCTCATCTCCAGTAATGAAAGCTTGCTCATCTGAAAAGACAAAAGGTGTTGAAGGTCGAAGAACTGCTGCTGAAGTTGACGCCTTTTTTACTCGTCTTAGTACCCCGAAATACATTAATGGTTCGCTTACACTTAGATTTTTATAGTATCTCTTCAGTTGAGTATCTGCAGTTTATCACTATTGATGATCTTTCTGTGTTTATTTTGATTGTGTTTTTAGGGAAAGTTTCAAAAGAGAAAAAAATTGGAGAACCTATTCAACAAATAAGGTAAATTAGAAGATTTATAAAAGGGAATATGTTGAACCAAAAAAAATTTTATATTCATTTGTAGTAAAATTATTACTAATAGCACAAAACTTGGGAGAGGTTTTACACATTTACCTTACTTACATACATTTCATTTTTGTTTAATTCACTTGATTCATGGAATTCATATTCAGTGCAACACAACGACGCAGATGTGAAGCAACAAAAGGACTGTGCTTGAATGCTGTCCGTACACGAAATAATTCTGCTGTATGTTGTGGGAATCGTAATTCAACTGTTGGAAAGTAGAAAGAGCTGATCAAAACTCTCAGTGTTTGATATAACTTTTTGATTCTGACTGTTGAACTTCTACTAGTAATTCTGTTTTGCATATTACTTAGCCCTTTGAAGTAAAATGAATAGTTTGAATTGCTGGAAATTCATTAGGCTTTGCACATATTATTTAAGTGATAGAAAAAATTTTTCAATCTTTATGGATCATTCTCTTTGTATTCGTTCTCAAGACTCTTAGCTGAAATATGTGCCTGATTTTCGTTTATCATTAACTCATTATTACTGAAGGATCTCATTAACTCATTTTGTGCATAAATTGACTAATATATTCGTTACTTGTGTAGAGTCATTTTTAAGAAATGTCTATCAATTGTACGATTCTATTCGATCTCTAAAATCTTCTCACTTCCATCTCTGTCTTTGGTGCATGAATCTAAATCGGTCACTGTGCTTTGCGTCATTGCGATCTTGTTTTGTAAGTTGACTTCAGGAAAAAATCGCGTTGTAAAACATGATGGAGCAATAAATTTAGTCCAACAGAATTGCATTGCAGTTTCTTTTTTTAAGATAAGAATTGTAGAACTTGTAGAACGCTCCTATTAGTCGTCAGTACTATTTGAAGGGGAGGGTATGCATCTACTCTGTGTACATTCATACATTTGTCTGGCTAATACTTCCGATAGGGATGATGAAGGCTATTGATGGAACGTTAGAGAAGTACGGAGCTGCGCACTCTTCATTGATCGGGGTGGAAATTTGTTGGATAAGGTGATTTCGAAGATCACCAAATGACATTCATTTGGACATACACCGATTTTTGATTATCACAAGGCAGCGTCAACTTCTTTCGTGGATTAAAATATATCCTTTTCTTGGTTAATCCATTTTAAATTTACTAAAAGCTAGCAACGTGCCGGCTTCAAGCTTGCGATTGGATTGGTTCATAATTGGTTTCATAGTAGGAAGCACGAGAAACTTCGGTTGAGTTCGTCATTCAGTGGACGTTATGTAAGTAGTGATAATTGCTGTGAACTGTGTTCAGGTATACGGACGCAGACTGCTTCTGTATCTGTCCTTCTTTTATCTTGCTGTTATGAAGCTTTACCGTGCTACAACACAATCATTCATACTGTCGCAAAACCTGTCATAAATACATGTCATTGCAGATGTTACATTTAGGAACAGCTCAATAATCGGTGAGCTGTTTGAGAGTGTTTGAGGTGTTTTGAGACCTCGACCTATTTGTTCAAAGGTGATCTATCGTTAGAATGATATTTAAAGTAGAGGATAAGCGGAATTTTCTGATTTTGTTGGTTCAAATCCATTTATCTCCACTTTTTAATTTAGACCAGTTGAATATTTGCAGATATAATAATGGGCCAGACATTGAGTGAACCTGTGACAACAAAGGAAACTGCCTCCTGCGCTAATCTGTCCTATAAAATAGGTAGCTCATGCATGCAAGGATGGAGAATCAGTAAGTTTTTATCCAAATTTGACTTGCAATTAATAAAATAAATGTTCGTTTGTCGTCTACCGGTCTTTTTTAAAGCTAAATTTAGCAGCGGATTAAATTTTGCAGATATGGAAGATGCTCATATTCATCTGCTTGCCATACCAGACGATACTCAAGCAGCTTTTTTTGCAGTTTACGATGGTCACGGTGGTGCCAGAGTATCACAATATGCCGGCATTCACCTTCATAAACTTATCGCCACTAACGCACATTATGGTCAGTTGTTAGGAATGAATGGAATGGAAATACACATTTGCAGTCGTCTCATTCTGGTTCAGATCTCTTGATCTTTTACTAAAATTCCATTTTAGAGCATGAAACTTTTTGTAAAGGATCCAGTGCTTCTAATTTGTCTTCCTAATGTACTTTTTCTTCTACATAGACATAATATTATGCTACAGTTTGAGTATTTTACAGTAGAGGGGAACATAGAAGAGGCGATAAAACAAGGTTTTTTGGCTTTGGATGAGAAAATGCGAAACGACGATGAAATGCGGGATGATATGTCAGGTACAACCGCAGTAGTCGTTCTGATTAAAAACAAGAAAATTTATTGTGGTAAGTTAATTAGAATTGCCATTAATATCATATGAAAGTTTTGTTGTTATTCAATTCTTCCAGTGTCTTCAATTTTTGAGGGTCCTTTTATTTTTTGATACAAATTCCAAATTCAAAAGGATAGCAGTTGTTGATGTCTCTTTTGTAATGTTTCATTTTTAGAGAGTTAAAAAGACATAGCATTGCAGGTAATGTGGGTGATTCAAGAGCTGTGGCATGTGTTAGTGGTGTTGCATATCCACTAAGCTTTGACCATAAGCCAGCTAATGAGAACGAAGCGAGGCGAATAGTCGCTGCTGGTGGTTGGGTTGAATTTGACCGTGTAAACGGTAATTTGGCGTTATCTAGAGCTTTGGGTGATTTTGCATTTAAAAAAAACGATCATAAATCTGCGGAAGAGCAAATTGTGACTGGTACGTTTGTTAATTTTTGTACGACAATTTGATTTTAATCATCGGAATCTTTTTAAATAATTGTTTCAATTAATTGTGATTTTTTTCCAGCAAAGCTTTTGAAGAATGGATAGATAAAGTGTAAGTAAAGTTCCACCATCTGTTTCAAAAGTTAGCTTTTTAAAGTATATATACAGTTCTCAAAACTTATGTTTTAAGCATGCCCTGATGTTACGGTGTGTGATTTGACATATGATCATGAATTTATTATATTGGCTTGTGATGGGATTTGGGATGTCATGTCAAACCAAGAAGTTGTAGAGTTTTGCAGAGATAGACTGGCTGCTGGTTGTGAACCTGAAGCAGTAAGTCATTTTTTTTATCTTATCCCATAAAAATTTCGATATCAAAACTAGCACTGGAAAAAATTGCTGAAGTTTTTTTTATTCTCATTTTTTTCTCACTCCCTTTTTCTTTTCCTCTATTTCATATAGTTTTTTTCCGCATTCTTAGTGTTCTACTTCTGTTAATATAATGATCAGGCTACATGTTATTAGTGAAGCAGCACTGGCAATGATAGTGTTTGTTATGTTTCTTAATATCCAAATCCTATAACATTTCGATTCATATGTCAAAGAAAAAAGTCCGAATGCAAATGGCCTTTAATTCTACATGTATGTGTAGAGCTTTTATATCTTATATTATTTGTCTCTAGTTATCTTTTTTCTTCAGTTATATTTCTTTCACTTTTCTTCAATTATATTTCTTTAATATCCAAACGAATGATCGTCTTTTATGATAGTCGAAAGGAGTTATTTACTGCATTCATGCAGAAGTTGATTGCTTTTAGTAATATTGTTTGTAAGTTTAACGAGACTTTGGAAGGCTTGTATTTTCTTTGGTTTCTTTTCACATTACTACAATTTAATGTAATTTGATTATCTTATGATTTTTAGATTTGTGAAAAACTTCTTTCGAGGTGTTTAGCACCAGACTGTCAAATGGGAGGTCTTGGATGCGATAACATGACAGCAGTTTTGGTTTGTTTGTTGCAAGAAGACACACCAGAAGCATATATAGCCCGTTGTTCACGAAAGCCTGTTGGTTCTGCGGGTGGTGATGCAGCCAGTGTGGAGAGTGAAACATATGTCACTCCACAACCATCTCCTGTTGCAATTGAATCGAATGAGGTAACAGTTTTGATTCCTAATGCATTTAGTTCACTTTTTCTTCTTTGAGTTATAGAAGTGTATTAAGAATTTATTAGGTTTATTAGTTCTATAACTTTTAGGTCCTATTTAAAAAATTTTTTTAGGTTCTTCATTTTCTGATTTCTTATCCTTATTATGTTAATCTTATTTTTGCTGACTGATGTTCTCTTATCGTGAGTAGTGAGTGCTTATGTTTATTCCTGAGGTAACATATTAGCATAATGGTCTGCACAATTAAGATAGAAACGCTGTGTTTTGGAATATATGATATTCCGTCAGGTTTCTGATGATCCGTCTTAACTCTTGATGTTTTAGTAGTTGTAATTAGGCCCATTAAAAATTTCTTCATATTCACTTTTTTGGTTCGTTATGGTCGGCTCCATTTTCTTGGCAATTTCAGGCGATGCTCGCGCCACAACAAGACACGATGAATATTGTAGTAACGAATGAGCAGGATTGTTCTGAAAGCGTGAAGTCAACACAACAGTTTGTCATTCATCTGGATAAGACGAATTCGGCTAATGAAAATTCAGTGAGCTGATGATACGGCTTAGCAGTTCAGACATTTATTTTTCTCTCCTTAAACCTCAGTGTGATATTGAAATTGAATACTAAGTACTGTAAATTAAAACAAGTCCTACTTACGTGATAACATTTCCTTATTTTAACTTGTCTTTTGGTCATTTAAGTGCCAAAACATCTTTAGAAGCTTAATTATCAATCACGTCTTGTATTAGCTTGTATAAAAGCGTCCTTTTGTAGTGAATGTTTCATGTAGTAATTATGCGGGATTATTACACTAGCTTTCATGATTTCTTAAATTACATTTCTGATGGGATAATAATTTAATGTACTATGTCTGTTTTTGATGTTTTTTTTTTTTGATTTACAATACGGTGATTGTCTGTTTTATAAAAATAATGAAGA